GAAAGAGGGAGGGAGGGAAGAGGGGAAGGGAGGGAGGGAAAGCAAGAGGTGTGTATTGTGAAATAACTCAATATGCATTATGACTTAGGTACATTCTATATAAGTAATGTACTTAACATATCCTTTGGTGAGAAGACAAAATCTAATCTCTTAGCAATTTTCAAGAATACAGTAGGGTTGGATATGTAGCTCAGTAGAAGAGCACTTGACTAGTAAGTGTAATGACTTGGTTTGATCCCTAGCACTCCTCTTTCTCCCCCCAAAAAAGAGTACAGCAACTATTACTAAAAACTGTCACCAAGCTAGGCACTGGTGGCTCACACCTGTAATCCCAGCCACTTAAGAGGCTAAGATCTGAGAATTGCAGTTCAAAGCCAACCTGGACAGAAAAAAAACCAAGAGGCTTTTCTCTGATTAACGAGCAAAAAGTGAAGATGTAACAAGTGGTAAACAGCCAGCCTTGAGAGGAAATAGCCAGGCAAGAGCATGAGGTCCCATGTTCAAGTCCCAGTATTGGTGTGTGCACGTGCACAGGTGTGCGTGCACGGGCGCGTACACACACACACACACACACACACACACACAGATTCATCACCAGGCTGGAAAACAACTTCTTAGACTCATTCCTCCTGTCTAATTGAAGTTTTCTATCTTTTGATCAACTTCTGTCCAATGCCTGCTCCCTCATCCACCCAAATACCTGACTTAGAAATTTTTAGGCTTTGCTGCTGTTTGTTTGCAGAGATGAAGATCAAACCCGGGGCCTCACACCTGTTAAGCAAGCACTCTACCTCTGAGCTACACCTCTGACATGAAGTTGGCATTTTAAGGTGAACAGTGACATTTACCGAGAGGCTCCAGCCACAGGTTGTTCTACAAGGCCTTTTTCTGTGTGTGCTGGTCCTGAGGTTTGAACTCAGGGACTAGGTGCTGTCCCTTAGGTTTTTGTTTTTTTGTTTTTTGTCAGTACTGGGGCTTGAGCTCAGGTCCTAGGCACTGTCCCTGAGCTTCATTTGCTCAAGGATAGCACTCTACCACTTGAGTCACAGCTCCTCTTCCAGCTTGTTGGTGGTTACTTGGATATAAGAGTCTCAGAGTTTCCTGCTGGAGCTGGCTTCAATGCAGTCCTTAAATCTCAGCCTCCTAAGGAGCTAAGATTACAGTGTGAGCCACAGGTGCCTGGCTAACAAGGACTATTTTTTTTTAAGTCTGTTGTAGGGCTTACACTCAAAGCCTGGACACTATCTCTGAGCCTCTTTGTGCTCTAGGCTAGCACTCTAGCACTTGAGCCATAACATCACTACGGAGTTTTGAGTGGTTAATTGGAGATAAGAGTCTCACCAGGGAGGAGTTTTCTGCCCTAACTGGCTTCAAGTCAGGATCCTCAGATCTCAGCCTCCTGCATAGCTAGGCTTACATGCATGAACCACCAGAGTCCAGCTAACAAGAACTTTTGGAAAGAGTGCAGCAAGAGAGAGAAGGCTGTCCCCATGAGAGCCTCCTCTGCTCTGGACACAGTGCAGGACAGTCAGCTAAACTCCTCTCTGCTCCTTTGGAACAGTAGTTGACTGCACAGGAGGTACACAAGAAAGAAGGCAAGTTCCTCATCACTCTTTCCCAAGTGGCCTTGGTTGCCCTCTGTGGAGGCTCTTCAGTCAACAGTTTGGATCTAATTCTAGCTAGGAATGGGAAATACTTTCTGCCAGTTTTTCACAGTCGGAGGGAGGAGCTTAGGGGGTGGGGTGATGGTTAAGCCATCTGCTTTCCCATCAGTAGTAGACGAGTCTATTTAAGTTCTTATTTAGGAAAAGACTGGGCATTCTGGCCAACTCCATTGGCTTCCAATCAGGACCAAGGGTAAGGTGGGGCTGTGGGATGTATTGGCAAATGCCTTCCTGAAGTACCTGTCTCCTGCTCTGGGACTCTTTGATCTGAAATCTTGTGGCTTTCATGTGAATGTCTGCTTAGTACTTCCAAGTGCATATACAGATACCCAGGAGATCCAGGCCACCTTAGTAGGGGTCACAGCAGCTATGTTTCAGCAACTGATGAGCACTCAAGTACATGGCTCCAGCTGGATGGCATTTGCCTAGTGTGAACAATGCTCTGGATTCAATCCCTAGAACTAGAAAAAAAATAGTAACATAACTTTCTTAGAAGTCAAAAAGGGCATCCTGTCCAGACTTCTATAAGAGTGCCTGATAAGCAGGGTGCCAGTGGCTCATGTCTGTAATCATAGCTACTTAGGAGGCTGAGATCTGAGGACCACAGTTCAAAGCCCACAGGCAGGAAAGCCCATGGGACTTTCTTCTCCAATTAACCATCTAAAAGCTAGAAGTGGAGCTGTGGCTCAAGTGGTAGAATACTAGCCTTGAGCCAAAGAACTCAGGGACAGCTCCCTAGAAACACACACACACACACACACACACACACACAATACCTGACAGCAAGTGTTTTATGTATGTGTATGCATATAACTCTTTCTTCAATAAATAAACTCATTCAGCTTTGTTTTCTGGAAAACCTAAGACAACTGTGAATAGAAACCATTGCCATCCACAGAGCCTCGGATTAAGGGTGCTGTGACAGGCATGAATGATATCAGTTCACAAACAGCTGCTTTATTTTCACTTTTTAAAAATAAAGCCAATAGCCATTTTCATAAAATTTATACAAGTGTTTATGTATTTTCCTAATTGAGTTACTTCAGAGCCTTCCATCTTTCTTAGAACACTGTGTTCATGTCCCCATGCTCAGGTCATTAGGCTGAAACTAGGGCAGTGTCTCAACAGGAGTCAGAAATCCAAGTTTGCCCAGGACCAGCAAGCTCTGGGTTTATTTTATGAGTGTTGTCCTAGTGTAAGGTTTGAAGCATCACTTCTACTTTCAAAAGTGCCTGAGTTCATGGTGGACAAAATCGCTAATTTTTTTTGTCAGTCATGGGACTTGAAATCAGGGTCTGGGCACTGTCTATGAGCTCTTTTGCTCAAGGCTAGAGCTCTACCACTTTGAACCACAGAGCCACTTCCAGTTTTCTAGTGGTTAATTGGAGATAAGAGTCTCACAGACTTTCCTGTCCTAGCTGGCTTCGAACTGCAATCCACAGATCTCAGCATCCTGTGCAACTAGGATTACAGCTGTGAGCCACCAGTGCCCCCAAAGTGGCTTAATTTCTGTAGTCCAAATAGTCAAGAGCTAGAGATCCAGGGGACTGTAATTCCAGGCCAGCCTGGGCAAAACTGAGACCTACCCCACCAAAATCAGTAAGCCAGGCAGTGCTGTGCACCTGTAGTGCCAGCTGTGTAAAAGGCCATAGGTAGTATCTGGGGCCACGGCAGACAAAGATTTGAGAACCTACGTAAAAAATAACTAAAGCAGAAAAGCATGACAGAAAGTTGACAGAAAGCATGGCTCAAGTGATAAAGCATCTGCCTAGCAAGCACAAGACCCTGAGCTCAAAACTCGGTACAGAAAGGAAAAAAAGGTACCTGACTTTGAGTACTAACATATATATTTACTTGAGGTGAACAGAGCCCAACTGCATATGGCTGAGTAAGCAAGGCATTAGCATATACCACTGTTCTACACTGTCACATCCCCCTGGAAATCCAGGCAGAAATCCTAATCATCATTATGGTAAGAGATGAGGCCTTTGGAAAGTATTTATGGCATGGAGACAGAACCCTTGACAATGCAATTAGGACTCTTATTAACAAGCTCTGAAGAAGCCGTGCTGGTGGCTCACACCTGTAATCCTAGCTACTCCAGAGGCTGAGATCTGAGGATCATGGTTCAAAGACAGCCAGGCCCGGAAAGTTTGTGAGACTCTTATCTCCAATAAACCACTCAGAAAATCAGAAGTGGCTCAAGTGGTAGACCACCAGCCTTGAGCTGAAGAGCTCAGGGACATCGCTCAGGCCCAGAGTTCAAGCCCCATGACCCTAAACAAAACAAACAAAAAAACCCACACAAACGCTCTGAAGCTTGGTGATGTGGCATTTGCCTGTAATCCCAACACTCAGGAAGATGGCAAGTTCAATACCAGAAAGGGGAAGGGGAAAGGAGATAAGAGTGGGAAGGGAAAGGAAAGAAAGGGAAGGGAAAACAATGAGGTTAAGCTGTAGGCAAGGCCTCTAGAATGATTGCACACTCCATGGGAAACTGTTTCTTCATAAAGAAAGATTTCAGACTGGGTACTAGTGCTCATACCTGTAGTCCTACCTACGCAAGAGGCTGATTTCTGAGGATCACAGTTCTAAGCCATCCTGGATATGAATGTATGAGACTCTTATCCAACTAATGCTGGGTGTGGAGGTGTGGCTCAAGTAGCAAAGCCTTGAGTAAAAATGCTAAGGGATAGTTCCCAGGCCATGAGTTCAAGTCCCAGTATAAGCAAACACAAAAGAGAAAAGGAAGAAAGAAAAGAAAGAAGGAAGGAAGGAAGGAAGGAAAGAAGGAAGGAAGGAAGGAGAAGGAGGACAGAAGAAGTTAAAAAGCTGGGGGAATGCTTGCCTAGCATACATGAAGTCCTGAGTTTAATTCTTCAGTACCACATAAACGGAAAAGGCCAGAAGTAGTGCTGTGGCTCAGGTGGTAGAGTGCTAGCCTTGAGCATACAGAGGCTCAGGGACAGTGCCCAGGCCTTGAATCCAAGTCCCAGGACAGGAAAAAAAAAGCCAGAAGCCAATGACTCATACCTATAATGCCTAGCTACACAGGAGGCTGAGATCTGAAGATTTGTTTGAAGCCTGCCTGCATAGCAAAGTCTAAGAAACTTATCTCCAATTACCACCAAAAACTCAGAAGTGGAGCTGTGGCTCAAGTGGTAGAATGTTAGCACTAGTGCTCAAGAATAGCGTTCCACCACTTGAGCCACAAGCACCACTTCCGGCTTTTTCTCTTTATGTGGTATTGAGGGCTTTCTTGCATGCTAGGCAAGCACTCTACCACTAAGCTACATTCCCAGTCTATATCAGCACATTTAATCAACATAATGCTTACTCTGTAAATTATGTCTAATAGGGGTCAAATTGGAAAACTTTATTCACAAAGAGATACTAATCACACACTGTGAGAGAGTTACACCATTAATGTAGGCGGTAGCAAAACCATTTTAAGTCAAACTATTTCACTGTCTGAGAAATTCCTGTGGACAGGGCAGCCATGCTGATCCTCACTCTTCGGCACTCTGTGTGCTGACATAATCCTGCCGAAGCGCCTATGCCTCTGCCCGCCGGCTCATCTTGGTGGCCTTGCCCTGGAAGCGGCCTTTCTTCCCAGCTCCTTTGCCTTCCAAGACCTCAGCCACCCTGGGGATCAGAGACACAGTCAGGGAGATGTTTGTGAGGGAAAATCTATGTAAACCAGCAGCATCCCTGAGCCTTTCCTGGAGTCTGGAGGAAGTAGAAGACAGGCAGGTGGGTTCTGGAATCCTTAAAAGTATTTCTACAGCCTGCCTGGCACTGGTGGCTCACATCTGTAATCCTAGCTATTCAGAAAGCTGAGATCTGAGGATTGCAGTTCAAAGCCAGCCCTGGCAGGAAAGTCTGTGAAACTCTTATTTTCAATTAACCAAGAAAACCAGAAGTGGCACTGTGGCTCAAGTAGTAGAGCGCTAGCCTTGAGCTGAAGAGCTCAGGGACAGTGCCCAGGCCCAGAGCTCAAAGCCCCACAACTCACCCCCCAAAAAAAGGATTTGAAAAAAATGTAAGGGGGAGGTGGGGGGAGTATGGGAAGGGATGGGAAGGAGAAACAAAGAGGAGGCAACAATGCTTGATAAGATATGTACTTGTGGGCTGGGAAGGTGGCTCAGTGGTAGAGCGCTTGTCTTGCATGCCTGAGGCCCTGGGTTCGATTCCTCAGCACCACATAAGCAGGAAAAAAAAAGCTGGAAGTGGCGCTGTGGCTCAAGTGGTAGAGCACTAGCCTTGAGCTGAAGAGCTGAGGGACAGCGCCCAGGCCCAGAGTTCAGACCCCACGACTGGACCCCCCCAAAAAAAGAAAAAGAAATGTACTTGTTATCTTGCCCATGTAATTGTAACTCCTCTGTATGGTATTCTCATATTAAAAAAAAAATGTAAATGCTGCAAGGCTCTGGTGGCTCTCCCCTGTAATCCTAGCTACTCAGGAAGCTGAAATCTGAGGATTGCGGTCCAAAGCCAGCATGGGCAGGAAAGTCCCTGAGACTCTTATCTCCAATAAATCACCAGAAAAAAAACAAAAACAAAACTAGAAGTGGCACCATAGCTCAAGGGGTAGAGCGCTCATCTTGAACACAGAGAGGCTCAGGGGACAGCGACCAGGCCGAGTTCAAGCCCCAGGACCACAAAAAAAAAAATCATGATAAACCCTTAGCGTCTTGCATGTATACCTGCACTTAGGGGCTGCTGAGGGGCAAGAAAAGTAGGGACAGTACAAGCTGGAGTTGTGTCCTACCTGAGGGCGGTAGCCACTCAGCTCTCACAGCCACCACCGCAGAGGAATGTAGACTCAGGCTTACCAGTACTCAGGCGCCTCCCCATCTCCCTCTCTCCTTCTTCGCATCCTCTCTGTCCCCTTTTAGAAAAGCCAGAACTCTGTACAAAAATCTAATGCTAAAATGTACCAACTAATTTTTGTTGTTGTTGTTGGTTGTTGGGCTTGAACAGCCTGGGTGCTATTCCTGAGCTCTTTTGCTTAAGGCTAGCCACAGATTTCTGGTGGTTAAATGGAGACCAGGCTGGTTTTGAACCGAGATCCTCAGATCTCAGCCTCATGAATAGCTAGGATCATAGGTGTGAGCCACAAGTAGCTGGCTGTACCCACTACTTTTTAAAATTTCAAACAGGAGGGCTGGGAAGGTGGCTCAGTGGTAGAGCGCTTGCCTTGCATGCATGAGGCCCTGGGTTTGATTCCTCAGTACCACATAAACAGAAAAAAAAAAAGCCCGAAGTGGGGCTGTGGCTTAAGTGGTAGAGCGCTAGCCTTGAGCTGAAAAGCTGAGGGACAGTGCCCAGGCCCGTGACTGGACCCAAAAAAAAAAATTTCTTTTTCAAACAGGACACAGACCAAACTGGTATACAGGCCACATGTGGTAGCTGGTCAGGATTCTCTTGTATAAAATAATGTTTCCAATGAGAACATTATTTTGCAGAGCCTAACGTAAGTTCAAGAATATGGTGCATGCACTTCCAGATCTAATTTAAAATAGGAAAACAGAAGCAGTATAACAAGGCTAAAGCAGCCCAACAAAGTTCTTATTTTTCCATGAATAAACATATTCAATGTCTTTATTTAGTCTCAAAATCCAGATTTTTTCCAAAAAAACCTTTGTGCCTCTCCTTTGCTGTTACCTTAAAGACATGTTTAAAACAAAAAACAAGCAACGACAACAACAAAAGCCCTGCTTCATTTGCCTAGTGATAATTAAGGGTCTGTATTCATGTATCACTTTTTGTTGTTGTTGTTGATTGTGGGGCTTGAACTCCGGGCCTGTATTCTGTCCCTGAGCTCTTCAGCCAGGAGTGGGCACTTTACCATTTGAGCCACAGTGCCACTTCTGGTTTTCTGGTGGTTAATTGATAAGAGCCTCACGGACTTTCCTGCCTGGGCTGGCTTTGAACCACCATCTTCTGATCTCAGCCTCCTGAGTAGCTAGGATTAGAGGCATGAGCCATCAACTGCCCAGCTTCTTTCAAATTTTAACTGTATTTTTTTTTTTGTGTCTTTTCTGTTTTTGGTACTAGGAATTGAACCCAGAGCATTGCACTTGCTAGGCAAGTGCTTTGCCATTGAGCTACACCCCAGCCCTCCTTTGAGCCTTTAACCAGGCTACATTAATCAGTAGCTACCTGGCTTTCCCACCTGTAGAGAAGTCTATGAGCTTTACCTTGGCCTCAGGGTTTCCACAGCCTCAGCCAGCCCTGCCAGTAAAAAGAGTCCAGCAGCTTTCCCATCTCCCACAGTTAAGAACAGGAGGTCTCCTAGGAGATAGGACAATGTGAGTACCTCATGGGGTCAACTCCCCTAAAGCTGTGCTTTTATTTCAGTCTCATAAACAGTTGTCTCCCCTAAACCATGAGTGGTATTGTTGATGGCTATGGCCCCGCCCCTCCACTTTGATCTGACCATGGCCAAGTATAAAATAACTGTCATGGCCTGACTCCTGCCATCCTTTCAAACCTGATCACGCACCCCACACCGCCATTACCTACACCACCATGCTTCCCCCTGCCTGCTGCCTGGCTCCCATCTATCAGACTTCCCTAAGCTCAGCTATTCAGGGAATGTGTGCTCCAAATTATCCACACTGACACACACATGACTCCCATACTACAACATGAGCTACAATCACTGTCTACACAGAATTATGAAAAAAAAAATACAGTGCCAAACCTAAGTGGGTTTGGAATAATGCAAGAGACACAGAAACCTCTAAGCTTACCGACCGACTATCAAGACTGAAGACAAGTGAAGCCAGAGGCAGCAGCAGATAGACAGGATCCTTCAATGGGCCTTTCCAATCCCTGCCTTTCTTGCTTCCTTTTTCTTTTCCTGATGTTGTTGTTTTATGTTACTGGCTTTTGAAGTCAGAGACTTCAAAACTTGAAGCCTACAACTAGACTTCTTGAACCACACCTCCAGCCCTTTTTGCTTTATTGTTGAGGCAGGGTCTTGATTCTTCTTCCTCGCCTTCCTGGGGTGCTGGCCTATGCTGTGATCTTCCTATTTAGGTTTCCTTCCATAGCTGGGATGACAGGTGAGCAACACCACATCTAACTTTTGCTATTGTGATGGGGTCTTGTGAATATTTTTTTTAGACTGGAACTGTGATCTCAGTCTTAACCATCTGCAAACCTGGCAATTAGCTCAATCAGCTTTTTAGTAGTTGAGATGGGGGCTTGAAAACTTTTGCCCATGCTGGCCTTGAACCACAATCCTCTCCATCTCTTGAAAAGCTAGGATAGAATCTTGCTAAGTATGCTAGTTCTGGGGCTTCTTCTCTTGTCTTATTTTTTTCCATTCAAGGCTGATGCTCCATGATCTGAACTATACCTCCACTTCTGGCTTTTTGCTGGAGTCTCTTAGATGTGTCTGCCCAGGTTGGCTTTGAACCTTGATCTTTAGCTCTCAGCCTTCTGAGTAGCTTTGAACCTTGATCTTTAGCTCTCAGCCTTCTGAGTAGCTAGGAGTATAGGTATTGAGCTGCTGGAAACCAGCTTGGTCTTGAATTCTTGTTCCTCTTACTTTGCTGATCCTCCTGGAATTACAAAGAAACACGAGGTCAAGAAAACAGCCAATTTTGAACACAACCACTAGAGACTGCATCCTTATACCCTAGACCCATTACTAGGAACAGAGCTGGTAATGCAGAATGCTAGATTATACCTTGTACCTCCAGCTTATCATGATGTCTTCATCCCAAAGAGTTGGTCAGCAACTGCTGTGATGAGATGTTGCCCTAAGCAAAGAGAAGAGAGGAAATGTGAAAAGTCCAGCCACATACTCCCATGAAGACGAATGATTGCGGTGTGCAAAACAAACTACAGGGGAACAAAAATCATTGTGAGAGTCTCATACTTTCCTATACAGGCTGGCTTTGAACTGTGATCTTCAAATCTCAGCCTCTTGAGTAGCTAGGCTTACAGGTGTGAGCAGTAGTACCGATACACAGCAACTGTGCCTCTTGTTTGTCCTGCCCCACATACCTGAATGCTGCTGCATGTGGTTAAATCTCTGCTCCCAGTCCACCTGGACCTGGACCTGGCTTCCAAAGTCCAGAGATGTCTGTGTGAAATGATCAGCCTGTACCTCCCAGCGGGTCACTCTCAGCCCAGAGATGCCATTGATTGTACTGCGGTCATCAGGCTAGGAGAAGTAAGTTATCAGCAGGAGGTAGGGCTCATCCAACCTCTTAGATACAAAGCTCCACAAGGGAAAGACTATGTGAGATACATCCAGAATTTGAGCTCTCTAAGAGAAAAAGAACAGACAATACCAAGCGAAATATCTACTTTGCTCTATGACAGGATTCCTTCTTACTTTGAACATCTATATATTTTGTTCTTTAGGAATTAAAACAGGCATTTAAGTATAGCAATAAAGATTTTTAGAAAACTTTGAACTCATTCTGGCCCACAGTGATGTTTGTGTCACTGTTGGGACTTTATTATAAAGACCCCTTCTCCTAAAGAAGTGAAGGAAGATCTCAGACCAAGTTGTTGGACTATAGGAAAAAAATTAGAGTGCCAGGCAGTACTCAGTCTAGGGGGTAGGAATATATATATATATATACATATATATAGATAGATAAAGACAGAGAGAGAGAGAGAGAGAGAGAGAGAGAGAGAGAGAGTCTTTCCTTTGAATTATTGAGCCAGTTTTTTAAAACTTTTTCTCCCCAGGCCAAAATTAGCTTTATACATAGTTTATTCTCCCTTTCCACCTCAAACATCTACATGACATCATTGAAGCTTCATACAAGGTTTGAGCAAAACTGATAAGTTGTAGAGCTGGTAGTCAATTTTTTTGGTAGCAAACCCTTTTGCACAGTTGGCTATAACCACTTTTAAGGACAAAGGCTCTGCTTTATCCCTCTCCTAATGTTAGGAATCTTATCAACAGTTTCCTAGGCAGCTCATGAAACTAAGGATGAACATGCTTTACTTAACAAGCATTTGACTTTACAGCTTTTTTGGTCCTGTAGTCTCACTGGGCAGGAAGAGGGCCAAAAGACATTGACAATCCTTTTTTTTTATTATTGGTTTAAATTTAAATTGGTTTAAATTTAAATTGGTTGTGGGGCCTGAACTCTGGGCCTGGGCACTGTACTTCAGCTCTTCATCTCAAGGCTATTTTCTACTACTTGAGCCATAGCGCCACTTCTGGCTTCTTCTGCTTATGTGGTGCTGAGGAATCAAATCCAGGGCCTCATGCATGCAAGGCAAGCATTTTCCCACTGAGCCACCTTTCCAGCCAAAACATCATTTTCTTCTTCTTCTTCTTCTTTTTTTGGTTGGTGGGGGTTGAACTCTGGGCCTGGGCATTGTCCCTCAGCTCTTCAGTTCAAGGCAAGCACCACAGCACCACTTCCAACATTGACACTGTTGATCAATTTACCATTATGTCTGTGACCTTCTTTAAGTGCATGGACTTAAACTCCATAGGAGACTAAATGTACAGGAGGGGTGGATTTGAAGAGGCCAGACCTTAACCAAAGATGCCAGAGTACAACATTACGTCCTTTCTATTCTAGAAAACACCTTCACGGTGGTGTTAGGACCATATCATCACTGATGCTGCACGCACGTTGGCATGCAGGGTAATGCTATTGGTTTCTTCTTGTCTCTCCCAGGAAGAGGCAATGAGAAAGCCAAGTTAGACTAATAATGTAACATTGGAAACTTTCAGAATGGTGTCTTAAGCTCCTTTATGAGCCATGTCCATTACCATTTGTGAACAAAGGCCATGGGATTATACGAAACCAATAAATCTTTTATTAGCAATCTCTGGATCTCAACTTAGCCAACACATCTGTATTTTATAGTACACTCTTCATAGTGGCTAAGGTTGCTTTTTTAAAAAATTTTTTTCCTCCTTTGCATTGTCATTGCAAATGAGGTTTCTGTTTTATTGATGCTTATATGAGACTTCTAATACACAAATGTATGGGTATTGGTGCCTCTTTAATTTAAAGAATTTGAAGAGCCACCTCATCATAGGGTGTGTGTTTGTGAGTGCATGAGCATTTAATTGAAAATAAAGTTACTAAGTACAAAAAAAAGAAAATACACGAGGAGACTTTGGGGAAAAGAGAGAGAATTCTGTATCAGAGAAATGGGAAGGAAAGGGTGCACTATCCTCCAAGCTGATACACCTCTTCCTGGATGATCTTCAAACATCTACATCAAGGGATTGACTGATTAGTAACTCCTCATTCCTGCATTACTTTGCTAGGCTTGCCATAACAAAGTAGCACCAATTGGGTGGCTCAAATAACAGAAATATATCTTCCATGGTTCTGTGGTTAGAAGTCTGAGACAAGGTGTCAGCATACTGAGGATCTTTCATCTTAGTTTGTAGATGTCTGTCTTCTCCCTTTGTCTCCACATACTTTTCCTGTGTGTTCAAATTTCACCTTCATATCAGCACATTAACCATGTTAGAGACCTCATTCTAATTTAATGACCTCTTGAAAGATGCTGTCTCCGGAAATAGTCACATTCTAATATTAGGCTTCCAGTATACACATTTTTGGAAACTATAATTTAGCCCCTAACACTACCAAAATTATGCTTCACTAATAGGGGCAAAATTATGGTTTAGTCTGCCAGTTTTATTGCTACTAGGTGTTAAAGGAAGTTTTCATTTGATTCATTTCTAAAGGAATGGTTTATTCATTTCTTTTTTCTTTTTTTGTTTTTGTCAGTCCTGGGACTTGAATTCTAGGACTGAGCGCTGTCTTTGCGCTTCAGCTCAAGGCAAGTGCTCTACTGCTTGAGCTACACCACTACTTCCGGTTTTCTAGTGGTTTGTTGGCGATGAGAGTCTCACGGAGTTTTCTGCCTAGGCTGGCTTTGAACCCTGATCCTCAGATCTCAGCCTCCTAAGTAGCTAGGATTACAGATGTGAGCCACCAGAGGCTAGGTTCATTCATTTCTTTTTTTTTTTTTTTTTTTTTTTGGGTCCGGTCGTGGGGCCTGAACTCTGGGCCTGGGCGCTGTCCCTAAGCTCTTCAGCTCAAGGCTAGTGCTCTACCACTTGAGCCACAGTGTCACTTCTGGCTTTTTTTCTTTTTGCGTATGTGGTGCTGAGGAATCGAACCCAGGGCCTCAGGCATGCAAGGCAACGGTCTACCACTGAGCCACCTTCCCAGCCCAGGTCCATTCATTTCTAAAGGAAATGGTTAAGTACTTTGTTGTTGTTGTTGTTGTAGTATGGGGACTTGAACTCTGGGCCTGGATGCTCTTCCTGAGCTCTTCAGCTCAAAGCCAGTGCTTTGAGACACTTTGAACCACAGTGCCACTTGCAGTTTTCTTGTGATTAATTGGAGATGAGAGACTCAGGATTTTCCTGCCTGGGCTGGCTTTGAACGCAATCCTGAGATCTCAGGCCCTGAGTAGCTAGGATTTCAGGTGTGAGCCACCAATGCCTGCAGGATTTATTTTTAAAGTATTGAGGTTTTTAAACAAGTATTTTGGTTACTGGTTTGATTTGAGGTTTGGGTTGCTTTTAGTGCTTCTCTGTGTAGCCCAGGCTGGCCTTGAGTTCTCATCTCAGGTCCTACTGCCTTCACTTCTCTGAATGGTGGGAATGCAGAAATGTGCCAACCCAGGCTTTTCAACTCTGTGTGTGTGTGTGTGTGTGTGTGTGTGTGTGTGTGTGTGTGTGTGTGTGTAGCTGGGAGTTGTCCTGGCTTTTCAACTCTGTGTGTGTGTGTCTGTGTGTGTCTGTCTGGTGTCTGTGTGTGTAGCTTGAAGTTGTCCTGGCTTTTCAGCTCTGTGTGTCTGTGTGTCTGTATGTGTGTGTGTAGCTTGGAGTTGTCCTGGCTTTTCAACTCTGTGTGTGTGTCTGTGTGTGTGTGTGTGTGTGTAGCTTGGAGTTGTCCTGGCTTTTCAACTCTGTGTGTGTGTGTGTGTGTGTGTGTGTGTGTGTGTGTGTGTGTGTGTAGCTTGGAGTTATCCTGGCTTTTCAACTGTGTGTGTGTGTGTGTGTGTGTGTGTGTGTGTGTGTGTAGCTTGAAGTTGTCCTGGACCCGTGAGCTTTTCTTGCTCAAGGCTAGCACTCTTGCACTTTAGCCACAGCTCCATTTCCAGCTTTTTGGTGGTTAATTGGAGATAACAGTTGCATGGACTTTCATGCTCAGCTGGCTTTGAACCTCAATTCTCAGATCTCAGCTTTCTGAGTAGAGAAGATTATGGGCATGAGCCACTGGCACCTGGCTTTGACAGTTTTTAAAGCAGTAAAACTTGTTTGGTTTTTTTCCTAAAGAAAATCTGATGAAGCTTTCCAATTATTGTAAATAAATTATAGATGCTCTGACCACAAAATACAAGAAGTTTAGAGTCCTGTAGCTTTTGTTTTCTTCCTCAGTGAGCTGGAGGCTTGGCTCCAGTGGTAAAACACTTGACTAGCCTCTTCAGTCCTTTTGAACTCAGAGCCCTTCTAGGCAGGTGTTTACCCTTGAGCTACACCCACAACCCAAACTGATATTGTTTGTTTTTACTACTGGGGATTGAACTCAGGGTGTAAACTACATGAGCAGCCCTCCTAATGTTTGAAGGTCCTTCTTGGGACCCTGAAAAGCAAAGTACTAAAACTACTGCCCCATAACTCTTGTTGATGGTGACATAATTGGTGCCAACCAAATCCAATCAGACTCTTACCTAGTGTTTTAATCTTTGTAATCAAATCAGAATCTTACTTTGTGTTTTAATCTTTTCTTGCTTGAATAACAAAATGCTAGAGACTGAGGAGTTTGTAAGTCATATAAGTATTGTGTTCACAGTTATGGAGGCTGAGAAGTCTAAGATGGAGGCACTGGCAGGTTTAAGGTCTGGCAATACTCAATCTCTGCTTTCAAAATGGCACCTTGAATTCCAGATCCTCTTAAGATGAACACCGTGTTTTTATATGATGAAAAGGTGGAAAGGTAACAAAGAAGGCCTACCTAGCTTCATGCAGCTCTTTCATAAGGGGACTAGTTCATCCTTGAGGGCAGAGTCCTCATGACTTCCCAAAATTTCCCACTTCTATTGCAATTCAAACCCAGCCTGGGCAGGAAAGTCCTTGAGATTCACTTCCAATAACCACCAAAAGCTGGAGTGGAGCTGTGGCTCAAGTGGTAGCATACCAGCCTTGGGTAAAGAAGCTCAGGAACAGCACCCAGTCCCTGAGTTCAAGCACCAGGACTGGCACAAAAATAGAGAAACTATAGGGGACACAAACATTCAAATCCTAGCATTCTGTAATTAAAATGTTAGTAAAGCATCTTAGAGAAACTCACATATGTATGCAAACGAGATACATTTAGTAATTTCCATAAATGGATTGTCTGGTATAAAGAAAAAAACCTAAATATTCCAATGCCTATCAAAATGGGAAGGAACACATCATGATATAGTGATAAGTAAAATATTATGCTACAGTGAAAAGTAAATTAAGTAGCTGCATCTATCAATCTAGATGAATTTCTTTTTTTTTGGGGGGGGGGGGTCCGGTCGTGGGGCCTGAACTCTGGGCCTGGGCGCAGTCCCTCAGCTCTTCAGCTTAAGGCTAGCACTCTACCACTTGAGCCACAGTGCCACTTCCAGCTTTTTTCTTATGTGGTACTGAGGAATTGAACCCAGGGCCTCGAGCATGCAAGGCAAGTGCTCTACCACTGAGCCACCTTCCCAGCCCCTCTAGATGAATTTCTCAAATATTATATAAAATATAAAAAGTCTACATATACACATGATAATGAAATAATTTTTAGAAAAGTAAATCACATATAAATCAATGTGTGGAAATAATGAACATGAAATACAGAATAATATTTCAGTATAGCAACATATGAGGATATGTAATATATTAGTAATTCTTTCAACATGCTGATTAGATACATGCCTGTTATATTGCTATTATATTTGGTGGTCTCAAATATTTATAACAAAATAGGTTTTTTAAAAAAAACCTACTGCTCTAAAGTTATGGAGACTCTACTCTTGCCCTTTGGTTACAATGCAATTTTAAAGAATCCATTGTTGATACTCTTTCGGTTGAAAGCTGAATGCAGTTCTACCTTTAGTACGATCCTTCCATTTGGGTTCTGTCTTCTGTCTAGCTCACAGCTTATTGATAACTTGATTCACTGCTTGGTTTAAAGGCAGTAGTATCACAGTAGCTCCACCACATCAGAATGGTACACTTCAGTCTCCCAATCTGTGAAATGATGTCCTTTCCCTGTGCCTGCATGTGTATAATCAAGTCATTCAACAAGTTTTGTTTTTTAGTATTACTGTGTGCCAAGCACTGTTCCAAGTAATGAGAATGTAATGGTAAATGAGTCATGCAATTCTTGTTTTCATTTATTTGTAGTATGGCCTATGGACAAGAATATGGGGGAGATAGGAAAGGAAGGAACAATAGAAGAAAGAAGATACTCAGGGTTTCCCAGCCTCACAGTTCTGCTCAGACAGTCAGTTAATAATAAGCCCTAAAGGACCCAGGCTCTTGGATTGTTGAGGTCTAAGCCTCAGGGACCAGGCCTTGTAGGTAACGGAAGGAGGGTAACTGTAGAGCTTAAGGGTTTGTCTGGAACATTGGACCTGCAGGAGAGGCTTTTGGCCATGGGATATCATTGGAGCCCAAGAATCATGAGCTAGAAGCTGTTGCTTCAGAGGCCTTATTATTGCCACATTCCCCCACGAACCCTTCCACAACACTTACCCAAAAATCGAACTTTCTTCAGATGGAAAGAGGTAATGTTTACTCAGCACTCACATGTCTGAATGACCAGCTGCCTTTCTGAATCAGAAGATAACTTTGTCATTTTTTCCAACTGAAATACCATGACTCATCAGTTAGGCAGCAACTGGATGGCATAAAGGCCTGCCTGTTATTCTTTACCCAGGTTCAAAATTCAGGCAGTAGAGACAAGCTGTTGGGAGCGGCTGAGAAGTCTCTAAGGAGGTGTTTTGGGATCCTTGAAGGTTAACCATTCCTTTTAATGTCACTCTCATTTAAGCCATTTGTTTTTCTTTCATTCCTGGGACTAAGTGAAGTCACACCTACTATATATAAAAAGACAAGTAATATGATGAAGAAAAACAGCCAGAAAAAATGTATAGAACATTTAAGAAAGGACAGCTTTGAGACTTAGGTTCCATGTGAAGGAGCTAGGCTTAGCTGGTTGGGATTATGAATATGTTAGCCAAGACTGTCTTCTTTTAATACAATGGAGCTTCTCAGTACCTCTGAAAGTGTATTGGTAATAGTTTGTCTGAAAATATTTTAAAAATATGCTTATTGCTCAACCCAGTTTGTTGAATTTCTCTTTATTGCAGCTGTCTTTACAAGAAATGACTTACAGGCTGCTGGGAAGTTGAGTCAGTGGTAGAGTGCTTGCCTTGCATGCATGAGGCCCTGGGTTTGATTCCTCAGCACCACAAAAGCAGAAAAAGCCAGAAGTGGTGCTGTGGCTCAAGTGGTAGAGTGCTAGCCTTGAGCTGTATAGCTGAGGGACAGTGTCCAGGCCCAGCGTTCAGGCCCCACGACCGACAAATTAAAAAAAATGAATTACGTAGCTGGGTACAGTGGTCCCAATTTGTAATCCCAGTTACTATGAAGTCAAAGGTAGGGAGGATCACAGTCCAGGTCAGTGGGTTAAACTTTCCTCAAAGACTTGGCCTGTTTCTAGCTCCCCCCCCCTCCCCCCCAACCTCTGGGCACAGGGTTTTCTGACCACTCTCCCAGGCCAAGCCCAAGGTTACATTTGATCTCAGTACAGGGCTATACCTCCCCATCCTGCCCTTCCACTGGGTGCAGGGCCCTGCTCTCCAGTATCTTTCTGTACCAATTGGAAAAAACAATGCCACTTCTCCATGAGAAGTTTAAACACAACACCCTCCAAAAAACAATCACTCCTAGCTACTTTGAATCCAGTCTCCAAATCCATCTCTGTAGGGGGCAAGGCTCTCCTAGACAGTTAAAGCCCTACACTGTGTGAGAAAACTAAGCCAGGAAATTGACCTTTGACTAAAAAGAGAGAGGCCTTAAAGGAGACCTTAAAACATACTATCTTATACCCTGCCTAATTAGAAAGGCACCTGCTGTGCACTTGTGCATCCCACCCAGTGACTGATTGCCTCCTGCCTCAAGGGTGTATATGCTTTGCTCATTGCATATCCTCCTCCTGTAGCTATTATTGTAATCATTCTCTTGTAACTTTGTAACAATCCCAGGCTTCAGTGATGTAGGGGCATATGTCATTATGTTTCTGAAATGTACAACCCCCACTTGCTTTGCAGTGAGTGCCTTCATAAACTAAGCCCTATTGCTGGTTCAGGGTCACAGTTACAGCTCTGGAGACTGTGCTGTGTCCCAAGCCAGTCAGTTCTCAGCACTCTAATAAAGCTCCCTGTCCCCCACTTTACTCTCTGTGGTGGATTCCTTCCCCCGCCCCCACTGTTACAATCTCCAAAATAACTAGCAAAGTATGACCATATGAGATGTTAAGCAAAATGTACCCCAAGATGGGAACAGAAGAGTTTTCTTTTCTCTCTTTCTTGCAAGTGTTTTTCATGTACTTACAATACACTATGTGATTCTTTTGTTTCTATTGTATGTTCTTCTCCCATGGTATAACCCCTGTTTTCACTGGATTTGATGCTGGTGTTCTGCCCCTTGTGTATATATTTTTGTAATGTGGGGAGGGGAAAGGATATTGCAGAACGCATAAATGAGGACGCAGGCTGACCCATTGTGACAAAGAGATGTACAGGACACGATATTGAAAGTGAATTTTACAATGTCTGGGTTAGAGGGAGGCAGGAGAAATTGGGATGGTGGAAGAAAATAAAGGAGGAGGTAAAAATGCTAATGCTCGCTATGAAATCTACACATTACACTACTCATGTAACTGTAACCCCTCTGTACAATATTTTTTTTTTTTGGGGTCCAGTCATGGGGCCAGAACTCCGGGCCTGGGCGCTGTCCCTCAGCTCTTCAGCTCAAGGCTAGTGCTCTACCACCACTTGAGCCACAGCACCACTTCCAGCTTTTTGCTTTTTGCTTATGTGGTGCTGAGGAATCGAATCTAGGGCCTCCCACATGCAAGGCAAGTACTCTACCACTGAGCCACCTTCCGAGCCCTCTGTACAATATTTTTACAATAAAAAATTAAAAAAAGAAATGTGGCTGGAGTTATACAGCACCAACTAAACAAGTAGAATAAGCACAAAATCCTCAGTATACACAGCAGTACAGACAAGGCAATCATTTCTTCTAGATTCTTTATCATCTCTAATGTGCCATGGTGTCCTTGTGTAAAATGAAATGAATTTTTTGCTTTAAGGAAAATTCCATTGTATATATTACTTGGTACAGTTGGAAAGTGCCATGACTAGTTTAAGGCTGTGTTCAAACAAGGTGAAATAGGGATGTTTTTCCCAGGTTCACGTCAGGGGCTTGTCTCAGAATCAAACCTTGACTGACTGAATGCCCTGCCCCACTGCCTGACCTGTACCTGTAGATATTTTAGAGTCATCACTGATTCTATAGTAAACCCAGCTAGCTGAATGGTGGATTACCAACCATGGAACAAGGTGATGAAACTTCAGAGGAAATGGCAACACCGTGGTATCAAATCATAATGTGTATTCTCAGGCTCACCACCCAAACCGGCTCATTCTTTTCTGGAAGCCTACTACCATGGGAAGGAAGAAAATCTCAGATTTTAGCATGGAAGAAAAGGACTTAAAGCTCCCAGAATTGCACTTGCTTTTTACGTAACTCCAGAGGTATTTTACTTGGGAAGGTCTGCTTTGCCCCTGAAACATGAGCTGCTGGCTGCCTTCTGGGGATATCCAGGTCTGCAGCCAAAGCCTGCCTAGCTGTGGAGCAGGGGCCCTATAGGAAGAAGTGGTCCCTGCTCTCAGGAAGAGAAGATCCAGTCCCTGGCAGATACAAGCCTAAGCCTTTCTGTTTTATGAACAAAGCTGTCAGTGCCATAAGCAAACATGTCATAAAGTGGGTGGGGCAGGAAACTCAGGGCCCTTAGATAAAAACCTACCCCAGGTTAGAACCTACTATAGTGTTTTATTCCCATGTTTTTAGTAGTGACTTGGCATACCATATCCCTATTGCCTACAATGTCCCTTTTGCCCACAATGTCCCTAACCCATAGCTTTGTTGTAAAATATGCATTTCTTCTTTTGCAGATGTGTCTGCTGTTTCAGGCCAGGCCAATTCTACACTGGGCCCAGGATCAGTTCTACCCTAGATCAAATCCTGATGGAGGTAAGTAAGGCTGTATTCATCCTCTTTACAGATCCCACCTGAACTTTCATCTAAGAAGGGCTATTTTGACTTTGTAGGGTCCTCTGCTCCATCTCAGCTGTTTGCTGAGACTAAGGAACCAACTGAAACCAACACAGATTCTGCAAGACAGCTATCTCCTGGCTCCGATGATGTTAATGTTTTTCATCAAGACACGCCAGGCAAGATGAATCTGCAGCACAGACTCCCACAGATGGTGCCAGTGCTTGGTGAGAACCAGGCCCGTCCTCTGCCTCATCCACTCAAAGGTATCATGTAGAATGTTGCTCTAGCTGAGACTTCAGAGCACCTCACACTTGAAGTACCTGTTCTGAAACCTCTGTATACTCATAGGGAGGTTTAAGTAGGTCGCCATCAAAGAGAACACCATGTGCTTTCAGACAGGAAGAGAAGTTTAGTTTAGAGAAGTGCTTGCCACCGGCCATGCAAGGTGAAGACCACCTGGCCTAAAGAAGGGGCCAGCTGAGGTCTAACCTGGATTTAAGTACGGAGGGGAGAGGTGAGGCCATAGTGGATGCAGATACGATCTCAGAGCCTGGGACCCTCCCATGGTCCCATGGGGAGTTTGGAGGGGGGCAGGTTCAGCCCAGGATGTGACCTCCAGGTGCGTCAGTTACGTAGATGACACAGGCACTGGGCAGAGACTTAGCCAAGAGGAGGGAGGAGCCTTTCTCCCCTTCCCAGGGCAAACCTTACATTCCAGCCTTTTGATAATGATGAAACAGGGCACAGATTCTCTCTGGCTACTTCCTGCTGGAAAGGGGGTATCGACATTGGGGCAAAAGGCAGAGATGTGGTCCTTTCTGGAAGAAGGCAGCAGGTAGCAGCTGTCCCTTGATGATAATACTGAGATGAAGTCTGAAAGAAGTTTCATGAGGCAGGGGCTGGGCAAAAAATTAGCACACAAAAGGTAACAAAGGAAAGAATATAAGTTCCTGTCCAGTTAGAAGGTAGACAGGTATGGATGTGAGACGGGCAAGTCTGTCTCCCGGCTCCCAGTTAATTTTGGGGTCCAGTCATGGGGCCTGAACTCTGGGCCTGGGCGCTGTCCCTCAGCTCTTCAGCTCAAGGCTAGCGCTCTACCACTTGAGCCACAGTGCCACTTCTGGCTTTTTTTTTTTTTTTTTCATTTTGCTTATGTGGTGCTGAGGAATCGAACCCAGGGCCTCAGGCATGCAAGGCAAGCGCTCTACCACTGAGCCATCTTCCCAGCCCCCTCCCAGTAAATTTTGAATGCTAGACACAAAGTGGCTGATGCAACATCATCTCCTCTCCCTCTTCTCCATAGTCCCTTATTTTGTGGACTGGCAGAGTCCCAGGGGTCTCGGTGCTTTTGCTGGGATAGCTTGTCCCAGTTGGCATTCACAGGCTTTGAACTCAAGGCCTGGAAGCTGTCCCTGAGCACTTCTGCTCGAGGCTAGCGCTCTTCCATTTTGAGTCACAGTGCCACCTCCAGCCTTTGGCTGGTTAGACATTAGAGTCTCTTGAGCCATGCCTCTGGCTTGGCTCTTTGCTGGTTAGTTGGGAAGTGGAGTCTCAGAGGAATTTTTCTGCCCTGGCTGGCCAACAAATCTTTGCCACAAACCCCCCTTTGATTTCCTATTAAAGCACAGGAGACCCACAGAAATAATGAGTAGCGCTTACCTGTAACTGGTAAGAATTGACCAACACCTACTTGTACAGTTATTTCTCTGTGGGTCTGGCTAGATACTGCAAGGAGGAAAATCTAACAACTCAGTGGACATGATGAGAGATTTTGTAAGCTTTCATGAAGGTGAGGAAAGAACACGCAGGAGAACGTAAAGGTGAACAATTGGGTATGCTCCCGGGCCAATTCCCTTCAGGATCAGAGAGGTGGCACAGAGTCTCATTGTAGCAGGGTTTCTATGGCCAGGATCAGCAGGAACTTTTAGCACTGAACTTGTTTTGCAAGTTTGAGCAGTTTCAGGCCCATGCCCCCAAAGAGGATTGGGACAGGTGGTGTATACAGAAGTGGTTTGGCTTTTCTTGGCTGCCGCTACCCTCCAGTGGCCTGACATTCTGGCATTTTTGGTTTGGTAATAGGGCGACGATAGTCATCTGGCTACTTCCTGCTGGACAGGGGCGTCGTGGGGCTGTATGCCAGTTATCTAGGATGCCGGAGGGGTAGTTGGCTGGTGAGTGTTTGGGTGGAGAAGAAGAAGCTGATTAACTGTCCCTCTGGTCATTTCTTGAATGTGGCTCTGGATGAACCACAAGATGCATGGGGCAAGTAAAAAGAAAAGGCAAATTAAAATTAATGGGCCTGAAGAAAAGACAAATTAAAAGTAATGGGGGCTATGGAACCAGTCCAGAATAGACCCCTGGATTGCTGTTTGAACTCCTCTTTTAGCTTATTTAGGGCCTCAATACTTTGTTCTACCAAACCTGACTCATTAATGTAATAACAATATTCATTGTTCCTGCAAGAATAGGCAGGTCCCACCTTTTTCAGCCATTATGAGGTCTCCGTCTTGGCACTTTTGAAGAGCAACCTGTGCCAGGGAGGGAAGCTGGTGCTGGAGTGAGGCTAGAGATACTGAGGTGGATTCCATGGCCACCTGGAGTTTATCTGAAAATTCCTGAGTTGAGACCAGGCTATGTCTTAGGGTCCAAGAAACCTGTTGAACCACTTAGGAAATAAAGGCTGGGCCATTATCAGATTAGAGGGAGGAGGGGAGGCCAAAGCAAGGAATAATTTCTGAAAGTAAAACTGGGGTTACAACTCCTGCTGTCTCTTTTGGAATTGAAGAGGCCTCACCCCACCCTGTGAAGGTGTCTGCCAGGGCAAAAAGGTACCGCATCCTTTTGTGGGTGGCATATGGGTGAAATCAACGTGCCAGTCTTGGCCAGGTAACTAGCCCCACATTTGATGGGTTGTAAAGGTTTGCCTAAAGTCCCCTTTGAGGGGTGGTGGTGGAGTATGTAAAAACGTGCCTGAGCGGCAGACTCACCTATTCTGGAAAGCTGAGGGTGATAAAAGAGGGTCTTTAAAAAAAATCCTTTGGGCTCAATATGCAGTAAGGAATGAACCTGCTGGATGAGGGTTTGTAGCCTGGGCCAGAGGCAAGGCCACTTATTTCCCACAAAAATCCATGCCTGTTCTAAATCTGTGCTACTCCCCCTACTTTTTTTCTGGTCAGTTGTGGGGCTTGAACACTGAACCTGGGCACTGTCCCTCAGTTCTTCAGTTCAAGGCTAATACTCTACCACTTGAGCCACAGCACCACTTCCAGCCTTTTCTGTTTATGTGGTACTGAGGAATCGAACACAGGGCCTCATGCACGGGAGGCAAGCACTCTACCACTGAGCCACCTTCCCAGCCCAATGCCACCCTTCTACTAGAGAAGAATGTATCCTGACAGGGAATACTGAGCGATCAAATCTGCGACCTGTAAAAATAAAATGGGGACTGCCTTGAAAACCCTGGGGAGGCACGGTCCGGGTCAGCTGATTTGTCTGAGAGGTGTTTGGATCCTCCCATGTGAAGACAAACAGAATCCAACATGCCAGGTCCAAGGGTATGGTAAAGAAAGCATCCTTAAGATCCAATACAGAAAAATGAGTCATAGAAGGGGAAATATGGAAAAAGCAGGTAGATGGCATGGGAACTACTGGGTGTAATGTATGGGCACCACAGCCTCATTAATGAGATGAAGGTCCTGTACTAATTGGTAGGAGCCACCCGGTTTGCAGATAGGCAAAATAGGGGTGTTATAAGGTTAGTTGACACCAGGAGTCCCTTCCTTTTCAAGTACTTTCTTATCCAGAGGAAACCAAATTTTCCCCCAATTCCTTTCCCAAGAATTTCTTAACTACCCTCTTTACAATTCCTTGAATTCCATTCCCAAGGCTTTCTCTACTACCCTCTTTACAATTTCTTGGGCTGCTTTGTGGCTACAATTTTTTTCTTTGGCTTGTGGAACTGGGTAATTTCAGAACTGCCTCTGCACCGCTTGGGTGGCTAGATTTTAAGGCTAAGAGCAGGGCTGGGTCTCATTCCTCTTAGTACCTCCATTGCATATATCAGGCAAGTAAGAGGGCCCTTCGCTGGTGGCTGGGAGGGAAGTCCCTCAACTCCCATAACTGAGACCTGTGAAAGAATTGGGGGGCCCGAGTAGGAAGGGAGGACCAAATAGGTAGCCCCCTTATCATTGTCCAAAAAGGAAATGGCCTTTCCCGCTACCTGGATCGTTACCCTAGGCTGGAGGAGGGTGATCGGGGACAGCGAAGCACGGCATCCTCAGTCTTCAGCAGCCAGGCCCAAGACCAAAGGCGGCAAGTCAGGGGAGGGAAGGACTGTACCCCCGTGGCTAGGCGTAGAGGGGCAGTCAGGCTTCCAGTGTCCCTTCTGATCACACAGTGGACATGGTGTCTGAGGAGGACCAGGTTTAGGGCATCGCCTTGCTCAGTGCCCTTCCTGGCCGCATTTGAAGCAGGATCCAGGTGGTTGGTGCTTTTCTCCAGAGCCATGCGTTGTACATGGCTTCAGGGCAGTGACCAGAGCTTGGGCTTGGTAGGCTGCCTTTTGGTGAGAGTGGGCTTCCCTATCAGTCTTTTCCTGTTCCTTATGGGCATGGAATACTTTAAAGGCCATGTTCACCAGGTCACACATTGGTGTTTGAGGGCCATCATCAGCCTTTTAAAGTGTTTTCTTTATGTCTGGGGCTGACTGAGAAATAAAATGAGAGGCCAAAAAGCTGGCCCAAGGCGGAGAGGTGGGATCCATGTGGGTGTACTTAGTCAGGGCTAGATGTCTAGCTAGAAAGGCAGCAGGGTTCTCATCCCATAGTTGAGTAATTTTCCACAATTTGACAAAGTTCATCACCTTATGGGAGGCTGCCTATAATCCAGCCAAAAGGCACTGAATCATTTTATGTCTACGTAAGCCATTGCAACCCTCAGCTGTATCTATCTGATTTTGCCAATAAGGGTCCTGGCTGGGGACTGCCTCAGTTCCCACGGGCATGTTTGTATCTCTAAGGTGAATCTCGTTCTCATGAACCTTTGACACAGGCCTGACCAACTGCCTCATGCTCCTCCGTAGTAAGAGCAGTAGAAAGTATAACAGGGAGATCATGCCAGATGAGAATATTAGACCCTTGGCCCAGTGGGGTCAGATGGCGCATCGGGTGGTGGATGGGCCACAGAAAACAGAGTCAAGAGGGTCAGGAGAGGAAGAAAGAGGGAGAGAGTTTTGGAGGGATCTTGCTACATGAGCAAGAGTTGAGAATAGGGGGCAGGAGAAACAAAGGGAGAGGGATGGGAGCATAAGTAGAAGAATCCCTGGATGAAAGGAATTTCAGTCCACTTTACCAGTTGCTCATAGAAATTGAGGCCAGGGAGGTTATCGAGCTGGTACATAAGCCATTCCCAGTTACAGAAGAGAATTAATTTCCTCGGTCTAAGATCAGGTCTTCGGCCTAGAGGTTTAAGGTTACCCAATAAGAAACCCAAAGGAGTGTGTGGGTCTGGTTTGGAATTTTGGTTTCTCATGGTGCCCAGGCACCAGGGTAAAACTAAGGCTGAAGAAGGCATCCTTGTGTAAGTCAAAGAGTTACCAAAAACAGGAGTGACAGAGAAGACGAAATGTCAATGATCATTCTCAGCACCAAGACCAAAGACCAGGGCGGGGGGTGGGGTGAGGGGGATAGAGACTCCAGCATGAGCTGTCCTGACTTTCGGGGAGCTGAGTTCCTGGAAAGCAAGACAGGACACCCTGAGACAAAGGGTAGGGACTTACCCAATTCAAAGGTGGTGGGTGCACAGAAGGCCAGGCTGAGGTCCTGGGTCAGACAAAGGAGAGAGGGAGAGAAAGAGAGAGAGGTAGAGGCTTCAGGTGGGTTTACAGAGATAGCCAATGATATCCCAAGCCACTAGGTGGCCATCCACAACATATGCACAGCTTACAGAGGCAAAGGCCATGAGGTCTTTTCAGGTGGCTATTTAGCCCAAAGTAAGCTCAGCAGGTTCTGTGTTCCTGAGGAGGTCTCAAGAGAGGAGCAAGGGAAGAGAGAGGCTGAGAAGGGGCAGTGCCAGTTGATCGCCTTGGAGCAAAGTGAAGCAGTACCATCTTCCTGGGTTCCGCACCAGATAAATGGTTTTTGGGGGGTTTTTTTTGTTTTTGTTTTTTTTTTTTTTTTTGGGTCCACGACTGAACTGTGGGCCTGGGTGCTGTCCCTCAGCGATTCAGCTCAAGGCTAGCGCTCTACCACTTGAGCCACAGCACCACTTCCGGCTTTTTTTTCTTTTTGCTTATGTAGTGCTGAGGAATTGAACCCAGGGCCTCATGCATGCAAGGCAAGCACTCTACCACTGAACCACCTTCCCAGCCCCAGATCTATGGTTTTAAGTGAGGAAAAAACACACAGGAGGAGTTAAAGATTAATTAAAGAAAAGTTTGTTGGGGTACACTCCAGGGAGCAGAATCTGGTTGTGGCAGGGTTTATATGGCCGGGGTCAGCAGGAACTTTTAGCAGGTAACTTGTTTTGCAAGTTAGAGAGGTTTCAGGCTAGTGCCCCTGAAGAAGGATTCAGACAGGTGGTGTATAAGGAAGTGGCTTTTCTCAGCTGTCTCTGCCCTCCAGTTTTAACTTAAATTGGACCAAGTTAAATGATCTCCAGTCCAGGGGGAGGGGAGAGAAAGATTGAAAATCAATTGTAGAATGGCTAGCCTCTGAGAGGGAACCTAGAGGGGTGTCCACAGGACCAAGCCTGTGTCACACTCTTGCAGACACAAGCCAAAAGGTTGCAGAAAATTAAGGAGAGAGCAAAGAAGATTCTGAAAGTAAAGACTTCTGACCATTACCATTGCAGTGACAAAAACTGTATGTGTGAGAATATTTTGACCAGGCCTCATGGCAAATGCAAGAGGCATTCCAACTGAGTGTCCCGGCTCGGGCTTAAAAGCTCAGGAGCCAGTCTGGTGAGTGAAGGAGAGCTTACTGGATGGAAGCAGCATCCCACATCCTCCAGTGCCCCCTAGACACATTTCACTCACTGGAATGGAGAAGTGGTGAGCATGGATGTGGAGGCCAGCAATGGTTTTGGCAAAAAGTCTAGTGTGGCATCTTGCAGAAGTTCAGTTCAAGGGAAAAAGGGCAGTATGAACTGGGAAATATTCCTCAGAGGAAAAGAAAAACAGAAAAAGAGCAGGGGGAATCAAAACGGAGAGGAATCCCACCTATCCTGACTTTAAAACCTTCCCAAATTCACACAGCACCATTTATGTTAGGTATAAGCAGGTAAGGAGAACACCACCTGCTTTCAGGCAGCAAGAGAAGTTAATTTTACCAAACTGCTTATCCCTGCCAAGCAAGATGGAGACCACATGGCTGCAAACTAGGTTTAAGTAGGGAAGGCGAGGGGAGAAGTTGCAGTCAGGTGAGGGAAAGTGTGGCTGCAGTGTCCCTCAGGGCTTAGGACCCTCCCCTGATCCAATGGGAAATGGAGGGGGCAGGGAGAAGGACTGTGTGTGTGTGTGTGTGTGTGTGTGTGTGTGTGTGTGTGTGTGTGTGTGTGTTGTCTGTCTGTCTGTCACTGTACTACCTTAACTATTATACTGATGGACCTACTGAGTCCAGGTCTTCACCCTCTTCTCACATCGTAACTGCGATGATTTTATTTGCTAGGATCTCAGATGTTTGCTGAGCCTCAGGAGCCAATTAAGACCAATACAGATTCTGCAGGACAGCTACCTCCTGGCTCCGATGATTTTACTGTTTCTCATCATGACACAATAGGCAAGTTAAATCTGGAGCACAAAGTCCCACAGATGGTGCCAGGGCTAGGTGAGGATCAGAACCCGGCCCAACCTCTGCCTCATCCACTCAAAAGTACCACAGAGAACATTGCTGTAGCTGAGGCTTCAGAGCAGCCCTCACCTCAAATACCAAAACATACTGTGAATTCACAAGGGAAAGCATTTGTTCTTGCACCCGAGGAGCGGATGAAGGATCCAGTTTGGGTTAGTTTCCATGAGCGGAGGCAGCAAAAGCTTGAGCTGAGAGCAGCAAAAAGCCAATTGGCAAAATCTTGGCCAGATCCAAAAAGCCAATTGGCAGCATCTCAGCCAGATCCAAAAAGCCAATTGGCAGGGTCTCAGCCAGATCCCAAAAGCCAATTGGCAGGATCACAGCCAGATCCAAAAAGCCAATTGGCAGGATCTCAGCCAGATCCAAAAAGCCAATTGGCAGGATCTCAGCTAGATCCACTCAGAAGTACCACGGAGAACATTGCTCTAGCTGAGGCTTTAGAGCAACCCTCACCTCAAATACCAAAACATACTGTGAATTCACAGGGGAAAGCATTTGTTCTTGCACCCGAGGAGCGGATGAAGGATCCAGTTTGGGTTAGTCTCCATGAGCGGAGGCAGCAAAAGCTTGAGCTGAGAGCAGCAAAAAGCCAATTGGCAGAATCTCAGCTTGATCCAAAAAGTCAATTGGCAGGATCTCAGCCAGATCCAAAAAGCCAATTGGCAGGATCTCAGCCAGATCCAAAAAGCCAATTGGCAGGATCTCAGCCAGATCCAAAAATCCAATTGGCAGGATCTCAGCCAGATCCACTCAAAAGTACCACAGAGATCGTTGCTCTACCTGAGGCTTCAGAGCAACCCTCACCTCAAATACCAAAACATACTGTGAATTCACAAGGGAAAGCATTTGTTCTTGCACCCGAGGAGCGGATGAAGGATCCCTTTTGGTTTAGTTTCTTTGAGCGGAGGCGGCAAAAGCATGAGCTGAGAGTAGCTCAAAATCGACTGGCAGGATCTCAGCTAGACTCAAGTATAAAGGTGGTTGATGTTGACAGTGTGGCTCAGAAAGCCAAAGAGGATGCAGATGAACCTCTAGAACCCCTTGAGCAAGATGAATCTGCTCAGCTCCACCTGCAGACCCATACTCAAAACCCCAGGACTCTTGAGAAGCTCCGGTCCCCTGCAGCTCAGGAAGAGCACCCAGTTCAACAGCTTGTTAGCGAGGAGGTTGTGCCATCAGTGGAAAAAAAGCCTGAACATTCAACATTGCCAGATGCCACAGTTCAACCTGCAGATGTGCAGATTACCTTCACCACTCCCAATCACCAACAGACTGCAGGCCATCCTCTAGGGAGACCTCCGGAGGAAGAGCTGTCATCTACCCAACAAGAGGTGCCAGCTCAACCTTCGGAGCTCCCAGAGTTTGGAGACCCTTCAGAAAGCCATCTAGATGCCCCAGCTCAGCCTGAAAAACCTTTTGAGGGAGTCACACCTCCAGATGAGCAGGAGGCTCCTATTCAAGCTCCAGAGGCCCTCATGGAAAGCATAGAGGCAAGTCCCCCAAACCATGAGCTGACAGTTCAGTCTACAGGAGAGGTCCAAGCTCACCATGCCAACGTCTCCTATATTACAGATAAGCCCCCAGATGTAATAGTTACCATCACTGCAATGCCTACCAAGGAGACTGAATCGCCTCTATCCCACAATGAGGCTCCAGCTGGTCCTGCAGGTTACAGAGAAGAGATAGAACCTGCTTTCAGTGAGCAGGAGCATACATCTCAACCTGAGTCTCTTGGGGAGACTCAGCCTTCTGTAATACAGCCTGAAGTCCCTGCCCAGGCTTCAGAGCACAATGGGGAGGTTGAATCTTCTGTAACCCAGCAGGAACAACCAGCTCAGTCTTTTGAGCATCATGAGTGGACAGTTTCACCTCCAGGCCTAAATGAATCTCAGTATTCAAACTTGGACAATTTGACTAGCAGACCTCCAGATGTGGTGATTACCATAACACCACAGTCAACAGTTGAGTGGGGGAGTTCTCCAATCCCCAGTGAGGCTCCAGCTTATCCCTCAGTCCCAGGGAATGATATGGGACTTCCTATAACCCAGCAAGAGTCCCCATCTGGGCCACCAGAGCCTTCTCAAGTGTCCATACCTGTATCAATCCAAGAAGAGGCTCCAGCTTCAGGACCTAGTGGACATGAAAAGCCTTCTACCCAACAGGAAGCCACAGCAGAGACTACACAGACCTCTGAAGAGGTTATACCTCCAACCTGGCCTCCAGAGGTAGAAGTACCACCTCAGCCTCCAGAGCTTCCTAATGAAATTGTTCCATCTACAGAACTTCATGAAGTTCCACCTGCACCTTTACAGAACAATACCGTTAAACCCTCAGAGATGAATGATGTTGAGATTACAACCCAACAGGAGGTCCCTGACCAGTCCTCAATGTTCTCTGAACAGTCTGGTCCCTTGGAAGACCAGAATGAGGTCACAACCCTGCAGCCAAAACCCCCTACAATTGTTGAACCATCTCCCATTTATCAAGCAATCTCTCCAGGGCTTGAAGAGCTTCCTGGGGCACCTTCTCCAAGCCAACAAGAGATCACAACTCTGCTCCCCAAGCCCTCTGAGAGTACTGAGCTTCCATCCATCCAGCCAGAACTTCCAGTTCCTTCACCAATACCCAGTATGGACTATAATATTCCTCCACTCTCAGATAGCTGGGAATTTTCACCTTTAGATCTAGAAATGATGTTCAAAGGTCATAATGAACCAACGTTGCCTAAAACCACAGTAAAACATGTGGATCTGGAGTTGACTATAACTCCACAGACTAAGGAACAAGTTGCATTTTCTCCACCCCAGTATGGTGTCCCTTCCTGGCCTCCTCAACGCCCTGAAAATATTGGCTCTTCTTCAGTCCATCAAGAGACTACAACTCAATCTCCGAATTCTCACAAGCAGCAAAATGCTTCTACAACTACCATAATGGCTTCATCTCTGCCTGCACAACTCCCCGAGAAGGTGGAACCTTTTCCAATACTTCCACTGGACATAGAACTTCCTTCAG